TGAAGTCATTGGCACTCCATATCCTGAGTATTTATTTTCCATTGTGGGTATGTAGTTAGTTGGCTCCTCGACCAAATTATATTTTTATGATGTAGAGGCCTTCCCAAGTGCTTATACATCCTATTTAATGTTTATCTTTTGTGCACACTTATTATGCTTAATGTATGTATTTGTGCATGTTTGTAAGCTTACCCAAAATAATCACATTTGAGCACATGTAAGCAAATTCTCCCTATTCTGCCCTAGATTTACTACTAGACCCACTTCATCTTCCTCTCCTTCCATTACTGTTCCACAATATAGAGTCTCCAACAAACTAACTTCTGGGAATAACATGGATATCACATATTTAAAATGAAATAAATAGGGGCCACTTGTGACACTCGTATAAAACCAAATCCTTTTGTAAGGAAAATTGAAAATCCTCATTCTAAAATTTGTGACGATTTTTATGCTGATGTCCTTGTCCTTTAGGATATATGTATTTATAATGATTTTCCCTTAATTAAAATGAGATATCATTTAGACCAAATTTCCTATAGTGTGTACTTAAAATAATTTGAAAGATTGAAGACACCACGATATTTTTTTGAATAGCACCAAGATGCTAAGGATTATAATAAAACTTTTCACTTAGCTTGTAGTGTCATCTTAGGTCACCTATTAATAGGTAATTTCATGGTTAAATATTTGTGCAACATGAAGGTATTCCTCTAGAATATGTTGTTATGTTGCTCTATTACATTGGTAGTGGAATCAAAGAGGAGTTAAGGGTGGCTCTCAAACTTCAGATTAAAAAAAAAATCCTATAAACTAATATATACTTTGAATCTACCACTCTCTTACACAAACACACAAAATTTGAGGTATGCTATTTTACATCCTCTCACTTAAAATCATTATATTTTTATATGTCATATAATCAATAGTAGTTGCCTTCAGCTGGCACAATTGAAGTCACGAGAGAATAGTGATGTGCCCAATGTAAGTATCGTTAAGCCACTAAAGCTTAGTAGATTCTATCATTGGAGAGTAGTAATGCCTAATGGACTCATAATTCACCCAAATAATTCATCCCATTTGTCATCCATCGATCTCGACGATCAAAACCACATATGATCTACATCACCCATGACTAAATTTAACCCCACCTCTCGCACACACAAAAAAAATAAAATTAAATAAAATATTATAATATCAAACGAGTGTCCTAAATTGAGGACCACACACTCATTTGATAGATGTTCAACCTTTACGTGTGAGATTTGTATTCAATTTTGTGATTAACAAATGTCTCTATTGGAATTATCATTATCATCCAATAGACAAAAATAGTAATTATATGTCATGCATGATTGATAGAGGATTTTTAATAATATTTTATTAATATGTTACTTTACTATTTTTTCTTAACTTTTACAAATTTAAATAAATATATTATTAATTAAAGAAAGTTTAAAATATTGGAGACATTGAATATGACTAACAACAATTGGTTGCAAACAAAATACATAAAGCACCTATGTTCAATAATATAAAATTAACAAAATAATAATACAATGAATGATGCTTGATTAACAAGATTAATATAACCTTGACTTTGTTTGTAAAAAAACTTTTATTGTTGATTGTGAAACTCGAATGAATTAAAAGTTGTGATTGGTAGTGGTGGCATGTTAAAAACATTTGGTTCCTAGGAATTCAAATATTTTAAAAAAACATGAACGAAGAATAGGAATATCAAAAGTAAATTTTGAAATGCAAGACAGGAAATCATGCTTCCCTGATGAAGATGGTTCATTCCCTCATGTCATCAAATTCTTGCATGGTTCCTGCAATATAATGTTTTTAGGCCATGGACATAGCAATAAATTCTCATTTGATTCATGAGAATCTAATCACAACTTTTAATGTATTTTGACTTTCTTTTGTATTCATATATTAGAAAACCTATATATAAGATGCAATGGATAATTACAAGTATTATAAATAAGATACAAAACTTAATGCTTTAAGCATACACTGATTCTAACTTTTCAACTAATAAATTATATATATATATATGCAAAGAGATAGAGAGAGAGAGAGAGAGAGAGAGAGAGAGAGAGAGTTTGTGTGTGAGAACATCACTTACCACTTGTAAAGAAACCCTAAAACTCTATAAAGTGTAATGGGCCACATCAACTTATCTTGTTGTCCTCATCATCATACTCATCATTTTTGTCTCTATCTTTTTGAGACTAAAAGACATTTATTAAATTACAATTCAATCCAATTCATCTAAGAAGTGGCATATAACATTTTATATTGTAAAAATGAGTTAGAGCATAAGTGGTCCTTCAAATTATTATTTTCTTAAAGAATATTTGCTCATAACACCAAATTATTATTATTATTTAATATTTAACTTAACAACTACAAATTTCTTTGATCCTTCAGAAGAAAATTTATTTGTTTTTTAATTATGTGTCAAATAATGGATATCCTTTCCTACATGTTATGTTTCCACCCTTCATGGCATAATGAATAACAATACTTTAGGATTATGTCATTTTAATAATGATTGATTAATATAAAATTACTAATTTTTAATGAGGATTAAGAATCTTTAGTTGAAGTGATATATAATTATTTATCCCTTACTTTCAACTTAAAAAAAAAAATTCATCATTAAAAAAATAATAATAATAATAAACATTTGTATACAAGGATTGGTTTTTAATTCATTTTTATATTAATATCCATTTGTGTACTAGGATTTATTTTAAGATTATTTTTATTACTAATGAGTGTCTAATATATATTTTACTATTTTAATGTCTAAAATTTTTTTATGAGCAAATTTAACAAATAGACATATGAACAACTAAAAAAAATAGTTAAATACGAAATTATAAAATTTTAGATGACATCATTGTAGGCTTAAGAAAATGACAAGTGAAGCCTAGCCAGTCCACTGAAAAGTTACTTATATTTCACTTCTTAATCAAAGCCTCCACTTGTTTATCTTTTTTATTTTTTAATAAGCAAAAAAGAATGTAATATTCTTTAAACGTCTGAGTTTTACCTAAAACTAAATAACACAAACGGACTAATTATATAATTTTTGTTCATTATAATAAAAATAATTATGAACTTTATCAAAAGAAGTATATATTTTAACCCATCTATTTCTATCCGATGAAATGATGAAAGAGACAATAGTTCTCACGAAGATATTTTGAAGTATAAAACCAAATAATTTTTTTTTTCAACGAGCTCTTAAAAGAATTCAAAAAATAAAGGCATCTTTATAAAAGCCGCTCAGTATCATATCTTGATTTATTCATTCTTGGTTTCATACTCATTTTTTTTGTCTTCATGCTTGGATGAATGTAAATATCATGGTACAATTATTAAGATTTCCTATAGTGTGAATGGTATATTTTAAAGGAATAAGTTTGAAAATTTTGGCTTATTAGGATTATGTTTATTTAATCAAATCGTGAAGTGGCATTAGAAGTACACACTTGTTCGATTGTAAGTGATTTTTTTTCTTTTTTTGCAAAATTATTAGGTAACCTTGTTTTTTTTGTGTTTATGATGCGAGAAAAAATTTTGGCACTATCCAAATTGAGTTGTTTTTGGGTTTCACATTTAATTAATTAATTAATTTTTTTTTTGTTGGGAAATGGTTTCACATTTAGCTGTAATTCTTAACTAAGAGAGAGAGAGAGAGTACATCGACTTCAACTTCATTTAAAATTGATCAATCAAAATATATCATATTATTTGAGGTTGGATGTGATTTTAAATAAGTATTATATCTTCTAATTAGAATGGAGATCATTGGGTAGCAAAGACCAAACATTTTTAATGTAGATACATATAAAACTTAATGAATGACAAATTAAAAATATATTGCAACATATGGGGAGGCCAAAATAAAATTTATTTAGTTATGTGGAATAAAAAATATTCCCGAGTTAAAACCCAATAATTAATCATATGCCAAATGCGATAATAAAAAGTATTCTCGATTAAAAACATTCTACTCCCTTGGACAGAAAATCTATTAAGATTGTACAATATTATAATGTTATTCAAAGAAAAGTTGAACTAACCACTTAAATTATGAGAGCATGTAAGTTCATTTTAGTAGAAAGTGCATTAAGGTTAGATGAGTTCTGAATAGAGAGGCATAATAGGATGGTCATAACAGATTGGGCAAGCTATTTAACATGATAAAAACAAAACTATTTCTAATATAATTATGATCAACATGATTGGTCAAATATTAATCTTATTTTCAAATAACTATTATTCGATGATTAATTATATTTATAATTGCAAATCTCATAAAATGAGGATGATTCAGGAGGCTTTCTAGAAATTTGTAATTATTGCCAAATGAAATTACAAATCTTACAGTGATCTAGAATGAAAAGTTCAATGCTTAATGATGTGTTCTATATTTTGAAAGCTTTAAAATTATTATAAAATGCTAGATGAAATCCTTGCCGAATTGTCCACATGTAACTTTTTTGTCCTGATGTGTTAATTTTATTTTTTTATAAAATTCTAGATCAAGCACATGTGAACAGGCAGCCTTTTCAATAACGATCACCTCCCCCACCTTACATAGAAAGTCTAAAGCCATATTTTATTGGACTTTTTTGGGTTCATTTTTTCTATTAATCTTGCACTTTGTATGATGATAAATTGATTTTGGATAGATTGGATAGTTTTTTAGTAAATGTTTCAAGTTTAACAATTTTATAAATGAAGATGTGAATGCACGAGCTTTATCGAAGTTTCCATTTTCACGTGTTATTTGAAAATTAATTTAGATTGCTGGGGATGACTTGGCATCTAAATGACAGCTTTTACACGGAAGTTTTTGGAGACCATCAGCTGTCCAATTTGTACAAAAACTCTTTATAGTATTGATCGTCGATCCATTCCTTCATAATTCATTTTTCAAGTTTTAAATCATAAACATAAATTATTTAAAGCATGAATAAAAACTATCACTTCTGCAGGATAGTTTTACCACACAACTGCAGTAAACAATCACATATTGATAAAAAGCTTCACGAGATAAAAAAGATGAAACTCTAAAGCGCTACAGGCCCAAATTGACGGAAAATATTAAGCCGCATGAATCAAGGGACCAGCTGAGACCAGATTTCACTTTGTACATTTCTCAATCATAAAAATAACACAATCATACTGCAAACAGCAATTTCATTAGCTGAATAAGAATTTAAAACAAGAGAGGATAGAAGAATTATCTCAACTTTAAGGGCAGCAGAAGTTTGATAATCAGCTCAAATCTCCAAGGACGAGCCAATCCTAATCTCTCTGTGATCTTTCAAGCAAGCACGAATTCTCACAACTGCACAAAACTTAAGAAGCTGAAATTGAGATTTGAAAGTGAAAATTAAGTAATAATCATCCATACTGTCGTTACATCACATTCTTGCAAGGGCAAGCTTTTCTTTCTGATAAGAACAAAAAACCCAATAAAATATCCAAACACAATATCACATAAAAAGGAAAAGAAATGCACAAGCACACATGAGAAACCACGGAACCCACATTTGGGATCTTCAATAATAGCATTAATTTTTTTTAGTTGCTTATACTTTATACTTTATCAGTGTTAAGACGTAATGAAGGTGCCAAGATGCCACAAGATAAACATCTTTACATTTCAGCTTTGCTAAAATTTTCATCAATAAGAAGAAAGCAGGCGAATTGAAATGCTTAGCACCGTACATAATTTCAGATTTTCTAAAGTGCACATATCAGAAGCAATAACTTGCAAATCAATACAACAAAATTGAAAGAAGGCAAAAATGTTAGTCAAGTCATATTATGAACTTGCCATGAAAAGAATCAAGCATACTGTATTATTGAGTTACTTCAGCTGCTGGATCTGCGGTGGAGCTGGCTGTGTCAGCAGATTGATTTTGATTTATTTGTTGCACCTGACCGGATGTTTGCGAAACCTGACCTGACCTTTGGGGATCATTTGCCAATCCAAGAACCACTAGAGATGATCTAAGCAAACATATAATGTAATACGCATATAATGTAATGCGTTAGTTGATGAAATAAATCAACCAAGTACGTAGAGTATAAATGGTTGGAAGAGAAGTTATCTGAAAATGGTAAGTAAAAGGTTTTGGAAACCTGGGAAGAGTTGATCTTATGTTTGGTTGATTAGCATGCTCCATCAATGGGGACTTCAGCACTGGGTTCTTGCTCAAGGCATTCTCAAGCTGAGCTGCTGGCAACTGATAAACAAGCAAGCGGCATTGCTTAGGGCATTTCGGAACCAAACTATGCAAGGCATTGCACTCATAACTATGATATCATTATTATTATTATTATTATTATTAAACTGTAATATTAGGATACCTGTATAAATAGTCGCATGGTTTACAGATCAATCACCGAGTTACTATGCTATTAAAGAGAGCAATGGGCAAAGAAAGAAAGAAAGAGACAGAGAGGGTGGTAGAGCAAGGGCAAGATATTAGGGAGGCTCAAGCAAGCCCAAGAGAAGTCATGAGCATGTGTGAGGGACCACACAAGCAACCGATCGCACGAGCAACTAATCGAGCAAGCGGGTGCACGCAAAGCCGAGGGCAACCACCTGGGTAAACTTTGATGGGGTCATATACTTAAATGTCAATTTTCAAAGCCGAAATTAGGGCTTTTCTTCATTTTTCATCACCAAGCGAAGAGTTAGCCACACTTAGATTTTGTAGATCTTAAATCCTAAGAATAATTTCTAGAACAAGAACAAATATATATGGTTGTAGGAAAATTTTTGGAAGGAGTCTGAAACTTTAAAAAAAAATTGTTATGACAGATAATGTCGTTTTCAAATTCTAAAAAAAAGTAAAATTTGTTCTCAATTTTGTATAATAATTTTAAAATATTAACTTTAAAAGTTCATAAGTTTAAATGAAATTATATATTAAATGATAAATCTGAATTAATTAATAATGTAATGTTAAGCATATTATGTTAAAAAAAAAGTTGATATATATAGGTAAAAATCTAAATATCATGTTAAGCATATTTGAAATAAGATTTAAAAGTAAATAGTTTACTAGCAATAAACAATATCATGGAGATTTTAAAGATTAATAATAGCTTATAAAGGAAAGGATTACCTAAAGTGGGATTTTTGCATCTGACTTAAAATTAATTAATGAGATCAAATTAAAATAAGGAAAATTTTTGTGTATGGTTTAAATGAAAATTTAAAAAGTCAAAAGCTCAATAATAGTGATATGTTAAAAACAGCACGTTAAATATGAAGTTAAGGATTCCAAACTATAAAAAATTTCCAAGCATGATGTATATAATTGAATTAAAATAAATTACCTAAATAATAATAAAAATGAAAGACGAGAGAATCTTCCTAACAAGGTGGGTATTTATGTTTCTGATTGTTATGACAATTTCAATGCATAGAGAAATGCTCTCATTAATTCAAAACTATATTATGAACGTCCAAAGAGATTTTCTCTCTCATTTATGAAATCCACATATTTATAAAAAAGCAACCGAGCACTCTGCAAATTTGAGTTCCTAATAATTATTTCAGGATATGATAAGAAAAAAATATGAGTTTAAAATAAATGCATGATCAGAAGAATGCAAAGAATATGTTATATAAAATGAAATGCATAGGCATATAAAATAATAGAGCTCACCCTCTTTTGGAACTACCTGGAAACAATGTACTCACACAAAAAAAAAGGAAAAAGATTACCTAACCTCAAGGGTAGGAGTGTCAATAAAAGACATTACCTGTTAACCCGACTCCAAAAATTCAGGTCTGGGTTAACCCATTTAAAATACAGTTCAATTCAGGTCAAATTTTTTTATCCATTAAAATGTCGGGTAGGGTTTGGGTCAACCTGCCAACCTGAAATTAACTCAATTTTGACCCATGTAAATCATTATTCACATTTCACACGGGTTACGCGATCACAATTCATGGATTCACGGCAATGACATCTTATCCATTCTCTTTATCCTTTAGATACCATTTGAATGAATGAGAAATATTGAATAGCATGTGATTCATTCAGGCTCTCTAGAATTTTTATTTTCCTTTGTTGCAACCCGCAACACCTGTTATGGTGTGCTTCTCTCCCACTGTCGCTACTCAAAGGAGGACCCCGTTCAAGTGTTTGAAAGCCAACGGCTCGATGCTCCTTGCCAATTGCCTCCTTTCTCCACTCTCATTAATCTCATCTCAGTAGTCAGTATTTATCTATTCATAAAACAATAAATTTGTAAATCAAATAGTCTTGTTCATTCATTTTGACATGTTCGTGTTCCATTTTGACTTTGGTTGTTGTTAGAGCCTGAAGAGAAGAATTTTTTGGTTTAAGGTTGTGAAACCCTAACTATAGGCTGGTGGATCTTCTTAATTTAATAATATTTATATATTTTTTAATTAATGGCATAGATCCTAAAATAATTTATTCAATATTTCAGTTATCCAATTTTCTACTAAGAGTGACATGGTGATATCAACAAATTTTGAATAACCATTTATTTTATAGCATGTGAATATGTGATTAATTGCAATCATATTTTAGATAGCTTCCTTTTTTTGTAAACGAATTGGCGGATCAGGTCGAATCATAACGGTTTGAGATTAGGTCAGGTTCATAGTTTAGATCCGTTTATTAAACGAGTCAACTTTGAGTCATACCCGAACCTAACTTGAAGACACATTTTGACACTGCTACTCAAGGGTTAGGTTTAAAACGTTCTGTGATGAATGTGCCTTTAACAACAGACTTAGACATTGCTCTTATGATGGACATATTTCACTTTAAATAAGACATAAAAATTTTATGATAATATATAATAGTTTCTTTGTGCCATAATTGTGGTAGTTACAATTGTGCTTTTATTTACTGCCCATGAAAAATGAAAAAAAAATACCATGTTATGATTTACATACAATGATCAGCATGAATAATATCTTCTATATTTTAGAACTACAATGACTTAGAAACATAATTAGCCACTGAGTTGTTTCACTCACTCCTATTAATTCAACTATTTTCAAGAAAATATCCCTTAGCTTAAATAATTGAGAAAAGAGTTTATATGCAGTAGAAGGCCGGTAACCTCAAAAGCTAGGTATGGTAAAAACCATATGTATAAATTTATGCTTTTGAAGATATGTATTCTGAATGGACAAAAAATGAAAGGAATTCATATATTTTATGAAAAGTTCATAAATAAATTCTAGGCATCCTGGTCAACAAACCATCACGTTGAAACATGCTCCGCGGTGGGCCTTAGGTATTCTAAGCAATTATGACTTACCAACATCTCCACAAGTCATCCCAAGGAAGCGACATTTGGTTGAGGTCTCCCTCATGGTTAGCTTCAATTAGTCTAGCCTCGAGATATGTCTTTCTAATGTCTCCTAAGCTTTTTTAGTAGTCATGATCATGCCAAAGTCTTGGCATATTGTCTCAAGGGGTTAGGTTCAAACCATCGCCCTCAAAAGGCTAAAGTTTGGAACAAACCATTGGTTCCCTATCTCAAAGTCTTCATGTCTCCTTTTTGCTAACATCTCCAAGGTTGTCATTTTTGCCTTTGACATCTCACTACCCTCGCTAACTCATCAACGCTTTTTGTGCAAGTCCGGTGATATTTCCACTAACCGCTACACACTACTACGAAAAGTAGGTTCATAGATCATGCCAAATCCACCATTCCAATGATCCTCCCTCACTTCATTGGACTACAAGGCGAATAGTTCCGCTAATATGGTGCCGCAATCAATCACCTTCCATCAACTTTTCTCCCTCCAAGGGTTTCCACTTTTATGCAAAAGAAGATGAGACAAAGAAAATTCAACTAGTTTTGTCATCCATAGATGATGCTCGATTAAAGTCCACCAACCACTCACCAGCCCATTGTCCCACGCTTAGCCTTTTAGCCATATAAAAATAGACGTTTCACCATCCCTTTGTCCCACGCTCAGCCTTTCAACCATACATGAATAAATATTGCAAGCTTTCCCCCCACCATACAACTCACAAACTCAGATTATCAAAGTTTGTTGGTTCAAAATCCAACTTCTCAGCGAGCTCTCTCTTTGCATCTCCCAAGTTCTGAATGTTCTTTCCATTGGCTTTCTAAACCCATTGGCACTCTTGACACCAACTCGATGTCCCATCTGGGCATTAGTTCTCTTCTTCCTCTCGACTTCCAAGACCTTCAACGTGGACTAACCAATTTGTCGACACCATCATTGAAGCTTAGAGACCTCACTTCGATAAGCCGCTACCTCTAAAAGCCACAGTCTTCCTTCTTGCTCGTGTTTTTACCTTTAATATTTCATGAGGCCACCTGGTGTAATTGAACCTTATAGCTTAGGCTTTGTTAGAGGATTCTTTCTCTAACATTCCCCGTTATCCTCTTAGTCATGTTTCCCACCAAACTTTTCAAACACCTTTTCCTCCACCTAGCAACAACCATAACTAAAAGTTGTGAGGAAGGGCCAACCACCCTTTTAAAAAGACCTTAAGACTCCTTATATGTATCCCTTGAAAACCATTGGAGGTAGGCATTTATGCCCAACCCAGAATGTTAGAAAGACCTGGCCGATAAGTATATAACTTGATATCTCAAAATCACTAACCCCACAAGCACATGTGCAGTTAATGTTGACAACTTAAACATGTACAAACCTGCATGTCAATTCCATTTTCCTATGGAATCACCAACCCTCCATTATGTTGGGTTCTCCATCTGACCAACCTAATGATGTGTCGACTTGATGACCCGCCATCACATCATCCTGTTAACATACCAATCTATCATCATCGCCATCAACTCTTCTGAGCCGAAAAATTTTGGATGCCCTTCAAGAACCCTCACCTTGCCATGCTCATGTGTATATCTCTAAACAAATTGGTGTGGATCTATCAACTGTCAACACGACAAATATCACAAATCCAAGCCAACAGCATTCATACAACTTGGATCAAATTAGCCACCACAACCCCCTTTTATATGTAAAACATCTTTGTAAATCCGACCCCCCTTTGATTCACATCATATACATTCTATTCTTTGTAATAGGCATTTAAGAGTTTGTATTCATTGGCTGTGATAACGATTTCTAGATATTTAAAGGATCATGCAGTAGGTTATTTTAGTGTAAATAGTACATTTATTTTGCTGACTATATATTTATGTTTGTTTGAGTGAATAGACAAGGAAGTCGAATAAGTGAAAT